GATTTATCAACATCAAATTACGGAGTAACATCAGCTGCAACTTTACCTTTATATCTAAAATCATCCATTTTTACAGACATATCTGATTAATGTGTAACCTGGACTTGAAAGCAACCAACGTAATTAACCCACCGAAGTTGATATCACTGTTTATATCTACACCAAATCATGTATAGTTTGGAGCAATATACTGCATAGATCCCTCGATATGTTTCTATTGCCCTCCACTAGAGACCTGCACTCGAAAAAAATCCTTATACAAACTCATTTTTTTAGTATCCGAAAACTACCAAATTAAGGATTCAACAATATGAGAACAAATAGAAAGGTACATGGTGCTTGTGGAAGAATAAAGAATACACAAATAGCCTAATTTTATCAATTCGGAACATCATTCCGGGATGACCGTACATTTTAGAATACAGTTTGGATTATATTTTTGTTCTTTTTTTTTTTTCAGTCCGAAACATATGGACGTGAGATTCTACCAACCATTACCAACTCTGGAATAAACATAGTTGCTTGGAATACCATATTCTGGAATATATTGTCATTTTACAAATTTTATAAAAAATTGATTATTGTCAAATAACTCAATTTCTCTTAAATTAAATGTCCTTAAAGTAAATTTTACCCTCGTTCCTCCTCAAAACCCTCCCGTGTGTGTTTCGAAGCTGCACGGAGACTCATCAATGGTTGACGTGGCGGGGAGTTCATCGACGGCTTCATTGAAAGATGACAAGCCTGTGATTGTTAGGGTTAAACGGAAAAGCTATCAGTCGCCACTCGAAGCTTTTTGTGAGTTCAGTTCAAGTTTCGCATTGTGTGGATATGTTTATAGAGTCTACTTACATAACGATTGAAGTTCTAAGGGCCGTTTTTTATAATTACTCTTATGTTCTGGTGTATTAGGGCTTGAAGTCAATGAAAGACCAGTGAAGCGACCATTGTTGGATTTTGAGAAACTATCTATCAACAATGCAACGTCCCAAGGTATGTGTTTGTCTGTATCTTCTGCATATGAACAGTCTTGTTGCGTTGATCGTATAATCAATACTTGAACTGCTAAGATCTTAAAGCTGTTTTGCTTTAGTTTTGATATTATTTTGTGAAAATTTTCTTGGTGGACAATGATGAGATTAATAAACTTCGGACTCTAATTATGAAGTGTTTGGATGAGTTATGAACAAAGTCTAGTTACAATGATGATTCTAAGCAATATTTACGGTGTTGTTACACTGCAGTTGAGGAAGTGAAGCCCAAAAAGTTTTTTGTTCAACATGTGGATACTGTGAGCAGCTCTGATGTTACTGTTGATGTTCTTCAGTCATTTGTGGCTAGTAAGGTGATCTTTAAATACTTATCATCTTCTTCATATCCTTGTTTCTCATCCATTATATTAATCTTTTTGTTGGTTGTTCTTATTGTATTAGCCTACTTCTGCTGATGCACTTGATTCTAAAGCAAAAGTTGAGGACCAAAGGCGTAGTAATAAGACTGAAAATGTAAGATCTATATCTATTATAGTCAATTCATATTTGGTTACATAGGTTAGATGCTAAAGTGTTGGTTCTTGTGTTCTTTCTCTTTCTCTCTCTTGCAGAAACAGAAGCAGTTGCTGGTAAAAGCTAAAGAAACACAAGAGGTATATTTTGAATTATCTTTTACTAATACATTTTTTTTATATTTTGTAAGTTGTATATATTAAATTCTGAATCCCTCTTAATCTTTGTGCACCAGATTTTGGCAAAGAATGCGCGATTTGAGCAAATATGGAAGAGTCGAAGGGGGAAAGACACTGCTGCTTCTGATGATGCATTGCGTGACATGTGTCATCTTTATGATGTTGTACGTGTGGATGCTGGGGAGACTAGTGGGGTCCACGAGGAAGAGTGAGTTTTTTTTAGTGTTGTCTGGATAAATGGTGTTTAAAAAATATTTGATAAAATTATGATAGGAAAATATAAATTTGATCAAATTAAGAAAAAAATAATATTCCCGTGTGAATATGCAGAGATGAGGAGGATGAAAGGCTATTGCACAGTTTCTTGCCTCTGCTACGGGAGTTCATTCCAAGTGCTGCAGAAGATATTGAATCTGAAATCGACTATCAAATGATAAGAAAAGGTCTTGCCTTTTGTTTCTGATCTTATATTGATCATTATAGAAAACTCAATTTTCTTTTTCTTTTTTGTTAATAATTCTGTGTTATTGAAATCAATGATATAATTAAACAGCATCCAAGGATGAGTATGTATATGATTTGTATGCTGTGAAGGATGGAAACATGAGCATGATGGCTGAAAACACATCATCCCCATTTCCATTGTAAGGATTCAACACTTTTTTTTGTGTGATTTCCATGAATTACCTTTTTGCCCTTGCCTCATATAAAACCTTTTCCTGGGTTTTCGTGTAGCATCCAAGTCAATGAAGATGATGATTTCTACGATGGCCCGGATGATTCAGACTATGAAACCGATGATTCCAACGGTACTTTTCATTACACACACATGTCGTTTCAGACCCTTTTAAGCTTTGTATTGTTTTTGACATGCATTGGACTGAGATTGTAATTGATGTACCCTGCCCAAAAAGGCGGGACAGGGGCTTGGTCTCAATCTCTTGTTTGTGCAAAAGACATTAATGCCCTTTAGTCCCGTGTAGCAAATGCAGAGATGTGTGTTTATGTTGTGTTTGTTTGTTTTGGGAGTTCAGCTGAGGACAATCCCATGAATGATTATCCTGATGAAGAGGAAGAAGAAGCGAGTGAAAGTGGTGATGAAAATTCAGAGGATGAAGATGAAGAAGAAGAAGATGAAAAAGAATCTTCAAAATCAGGAAGCATAGGAGGGGAGGGGTTGTCTGAAGATGAAAATGAGATGCTGACAAATTTTGATGAAGATGAAGATGATGATGAGATGTATTGGTAATGAGTTTAGGGTTGTGTATTATTTTTGTATATGAAACATGTTGATCGTTCATAGTTTGTGTTGACAATAGGTAGTTGGATATTTGGTACTTTTGTTGTTGATTTTTGGTATACTTTTCCCTTGCAAAACCTTGAGTGGATATATAATATAGATATATGTGGAGGCTGGTAAACTACTTTAAATGTTTTTTTTCCCTTTTAAGGAAGGCAACACTTTCAGCTTTGGTTTGCAAACATTTGAGTTATGTATTTTTGTTGAATTAACATCATAAACAATTTTTAATCGTGGGTTTGACTGATCACAAACAATTCCCTAGATATGGTTTAAAATTGAATTTTTTTCACCTTAAAGCTGAGATTGATCAAGAGGTTTGTATGTTAAATTTATGGAAAGTAGTCTCTAGTATATGATGAATCAATGTTCACCAAGTTAGTTGATGGAAGAAGTCCCTGTGAAGTTTATTAGGTCATTTCATCTCCAACCTAAAGTCAAATCCCATTTTTAACACCATTTCTCTCCAAGCAAACACCATTTGCTACACCAAAATGTTTTAAAAAGAATGATATAACATCAAATTTGATGTTATATACTACTTGATTGCACCGAAATGGTCTAAATAGTAATAACCTACTATCAACCTCAACATGCGACAAGTTTAGTTTTGCTTGTTTAAACAATTTGCCAGTCGGTTTGAGAATTGATGAAAATTAATAAGACTATTATTATTATGATCAATAAAACAAGTTCAAATCAAGAATCACTTCCTATGCTCTTTTAAATAAAACAACTAGTATTTTGAGCCAAAAACAACCACAAATGCTATGTTAAATTCAAAAGAGAACTAAATGGTCCATGTCTCATGTTTTTTTTTTTTTCTTCCTTACACATTACACACCAACAGAAACACAGAAACATTCCAGGTTCAATTCTCTAACCTAAAGTTGGTGTCCAAACCAAAGTTTCTAGGATGCTCCAGAAATCCAAGAAGGCTGCATTATTTTCTTCATTTTCTAGTTGAATATGTTCCAATTGCACAAAAGATCAAACGCAATGTCATTCCATTCTTTGTATGACTTTCTTGCAATCAGGCTTATAAAATTTAGGAGCATGTGTGTGTGTATGTCTTCATCGCATGAAAGGAAGCAACCATCTCATTTCTGAACCATTTCCATTTGCAAGAAAATATAATTTCTTCCATCCTTCCTCTGAGAATGCTTCACGACGTATCAGCCTTTGCCTGAGGTTTTACATAATTCATGTCAGTTGCATGTTTTGATGGAAAAAAGATAAAATATTTCAAAAAAAAAAAAAGGCAAGTATACCTGAGGTAATAGTGAGACACAACAGAAGCTTCATCGAGAGTGTAACGAGGAAACATAACACGTGCATTTGTAGGAACATCTGGTAAATCTTTCCTTAGCTTCCCAACTGCTGTTGAATGAGAGAAAGCACCTATCATCATGTTGTCATGCATCATGGAACGAAATGCATTCACCTAGGGACAAACATTACAACCTTCAACACAAACTAAAAAAAGAATATTACAATGATTCTAGAAGAAATTAGAACAACCAACTAACCGTTGCAACTTCTTTAGCATGAATTGGACGAGATGAGCGAACAGTCATTGGCTCCTCAAATTCAGTGAATGTGAACCAACTGTTATACTGCTCACACGGTTGTTGTGGTAAGAAATAACAGACAGAATATGAAACTTGCAAAGTGAAAAGAGGAAAAGTCAACTCACTTGGTCAATTGCAAAAAGAACAGGTATATCTTTTACAAGTGACAACTCTTCCCTCAAACGAACAACAACTCCAACAGAAGCATGTGTTGTAGTGATTCCCGTTTGAACCAAATCATATAAAGATGAACCTTCAGGCATTGCCATTGAATCTGCATCCTTCATCCTCCCAACACCAGCACCTTCACCAAGTGGTATGGGATCAAATATCTTACAAGGTAGCTTCATTAGAGATGATTCATTGTACTTCAAGAAATCCTGCAAACAATAAATAGTGCACTTCATTAGGGACATTCGATTGCATGTTGATAGAAATTAGAATTCTTGCCTGCAAAATGTTGGCTGCTTGTACAGGTGTATCCCACAAACCAGTTTGAGGGTTTTTATAGAAAAGTCCTCCATGAGTCCAACTTCGACCTTCTGGAACATACAATACCAACCAACCTTCATCACGTGCCCAGTGAACAAGCATTGCAAGAGCAATACTCTTTCCACAGCTAACAGGGCCATCCAATACTATTTGCTTCTGAACACTTAAACCTGAGAGTGAAGATGAGAAACAGCAAATATAACTACTACAACCAGCTTCTGAAGAAACACAAGAAACAGCAAATGTGTCATAGAAGCAGTAAGCTAAAAGCACACCTTTGCTGTTACTAGATTGCAATGTTGGGTCAACAATACGCCTGTAATTATCCCGGAGATCCAAGAAGCTGTGTCGTACTAGCAATGCATCTCTCATTGATTCATCAAACTCTTTCTCCATTCCAACTGGTAATTTCTCCGGCAGCACCTCCTCCAGTTTCTTCCTACTGTATACCAAAAAAAGCGAAGTTCAGGTATGAATAATTATGGAATGCACCCACATCAAATTCAATTCCTAGCATTTGGGCAATTCAATTTCAATGTATGACGTACAGATTCTCGAAATGTAAGAATAGAAGCGTACTACTCGATGGATAAAATTTTAGATTTGCAAATGTACTGGTGAAATAGAAGGTATAGATAATACCTAAACTTCATGTAAGTACAGGCGTCCTTTCTACTGAGTTCAGATAAAGAAGCAGAGGAAGTAAACAACGGCCGTCCGTTAGGGCCGATGTCAAGTGACTTATCGCGCTCATCTTCATCGAGGAGGCGCCTCCGGTTTCTTTCGTCCGAGATGAGATCATGAGCTGCATCATCGACAGAGGAACCAACAGCCTCTTCCTGTTTCGACTTTGTTTTCACATCGGCTTTGGATTTAGGCTGAGCTTTCTTATTGCCCGCCTTTGCACCCGACGATTTGGCTTTCTTTACCGCGAAGGTTCTGGAAGATGTCAACTGAGAAGATTTCGAATTCGATGCTGCAATGGAGGTAGGGATGAGAGTTGATTTCGCCTGTGCAGAGGCGACTGCTCGGAGAAGCGAACGCAACATTTCTGTTTCGACGGCGGCGGAGTCCGATGGATGTTTGCAAATACGCAAAGGGTGAAACCCGAGGGCAAAGATGTAATTTCAAAACTTGTGTCTATGACTGGGCCGGTTTGCTTTCAAAAAGGGCTGGGCATTTGTTGTGGACCTTTTGTTGGACCGTGCTTTTTAGTATTAATTGAAAACTAATATTATTGTTTAAAAAAAACACATTTTTTATTTACCCCTGCCCCGCCAGGAAAAAAAAAAAAAAAAAAAAAAACTCAATTTAGGGCTCCACTCCCGTGGCCTCCTCCGCCCATCGCCGGCCACATGCGGCCTCCTCCACCCATTGCTGGCTACCCAAGGCCTCTTCCACTCGTCGCCGATTCATCTCCAACACGGAAAACTTAAAGGTATGCAAAGCTTTTCTCAAGACAAAATTGCAAGAATGGTCCCTGTGGTATGTCAAAACTAGCAACTTTGGTCCAAAATGAGTTTGGCTCGCAAGGATGGTCCAATAGTTTCGTTTTGTTGCAAGTTTAGTCCAAAAAATTTTAAACTTTTTATAATGACGGATTAAACCTTGATATTTTTCCTTTTTTAATTTTTTTATTTGAAAAATGAAATAAAGAAAAAGAAAAAAAGATTCTCTCTCTCTCTCTCTCTCTCTCTCTCTCTCTCTCTCTCCCTCCAGTTTAGAGAACGTCACCACCCTCACTCCCCCCCCCCCAAACCTTCACTCCCAATGGGAATCCTAAACACCATCGTCGAAAAAAGATAAACGACACCAAATCGAAGCTTTGGCAGTGAAACCCTAACCCTAAAAGTTTCAACTAGCGGCGTATAGATCGAAACTAAGGTATTTAGCAACGGCGGCCTCTGAAACCCTAAGATTTCAGGAAACGAGAATGACGGTAACCTGTAAAAACCATAGGGTATCCTCCTTTCCTTTTTCAAACTCGATTGAAGCTCACCTAAGGGTCATTTGATGGAGCCAGGAAGTTCGATAGACGATGGGGACGGTTACAAACCGTGGTGCAGAGGGGTGGCAGTCGGTGTTTCCAGTGGCCTTTCCTCTGTTGCAGTGGCCTCGTTAGGGTCTGTAATGGCGTCAAGAGGCAATAATAGACCAAGGCAACGACAGGGGTTTCCGGTGGTTTAGTCATCATTGTTGTGTTTTGCTCTATAAAGACGAAGCTTGTCGATTTTCACGAGGCGGCGGATCTGAAACCCCCATTTGCAAACCCTCGTTTCATAGCTGGAGCAACGATTACGGTTCTCCCCTCTCACACTTAGAAGCTCGTCTGAAAACCATTTGATCTTGTTGAGATATAAATTAACAGGGGCCGAAAATGAAGATTAGAGTTAGGGTTTTTTTTTTCTACGTATCATTAAGAGGAGGAATACAATGAAGATGTGGGGGCGGCAATGAAGAGAGAGAGAGAGAGAGAGAGAGAGAGAGATTTTATTTTTGTTTTATTTTTAATTTTTGTAACAAAAGAAAAATGGAAAATAAAATAATAAGGGCAAATTCGTCATTATAAAAAAGTTCATAGGAAATTGGACTAAACTCGCAACAAAACGAAACTATTGGACCATTCTTGCGAGTCAAACCCATTTTGGACCAAAGTAGCTAGTTTTGACATACCATAGGGACCATTCTTGCAATTTTGTCTTTTCTCAATTCTGATTCTTCCTGTTTCAGTTACTTGCAATGTGATGTAGATCGTGATTTGATTAATTTGGAATGCATTTCTTATAATTTTCTTTTGATTATTAATCACCTTCTTGCGATGTACAATCTAAAATTCGGGACAGGAACATGATATATATTTGTTGATTAGAGGTATTAACGAATTTTGACAAAATAATTATCAAATATTAATTTAGTCTTTAACCGGTTGTCAAGTCCATTTTAAACTGTATAAGGACTGGACTCGAGGACCAGTCTAGGTTCTTCTCAATCGAGTCTTTTTGAGGGTCTGTTTGTGGGTCAATTTTGCCCATCTGTTATACCATAAAATTTGAATATGAAACCTTCGCTTTACTTGTACAATGCAAATTAAATTGAATTCATAATATATAATAGGGGAAATCTTCAGAAAAATCCTAAAATTTTACTACAATTTATGAAAAAATCTCAAATTAAATTTTGTTTATAGAAAAGCACAGAATATCGGCTAAAACTTAAAAAAAAAAAAAAAAACTCTTTTCGGCCGGTGTCGCTGTTTTATCAAGTATTCTGTTCTTTTTCATTAGTTTGGTCAAAAATTTGGAACTTTTTCGGAAATTACCTGATAACCAAAATATTGGGACTTTTCTGAAAATTACCATGGAATTAAAGGTTATTATTATTAACAAATCATTTATAAACATAATGAATATTTTTATTTATAAAAAAAAGGAAATACACTTGTTGCTAATTTCTGAGAATAAATTGGTGGTCTAACTACTTCTCTATTGCTTATTGACCATATCGAACTCTCTACATTCCTCATATGCATCGTTGTGTGTATGATTGTGAGATGTACTCAGTGAGTGTTCCTCTAATGTTGGTGTTCCTAATATGTTGTTTAATTTAACTACTACCCAACATCTATACCTCACATGGTAACAACCATATGTTAACACACATCTATCAAATGTGAAAAAGTGAATCGTGAATGATAGTTTATATGGAAACAAGTGAATGGTGATTATCTTTAAACTGTCATTCAAAGTTTACTTTTCACTATGTGTGTAATTTGATGGTTGTTACCAAGTAATAAATAGAGGTTAGGTGATATATATGTTAAAGAATCATTGTGTAATGATATTTTCTAATAACATATAATCCTATAGCATCACGTCTAATAGCAAGTAGACACTTATTGATTGTGTATTAATAAATATTATTAACTCTTGTATTTAATTGATGAAACGTACATATTACATCCCACTATGATACCCACAACGATACATAAGAGGAACATAGAGAGTTTGAAGTGGTCAACAGACAATAAAGGAGTACATAGTCGACCATTCTATTCCTAGAAATTTGAAACAAATGTATTCTTTTGTTTGTAATAAAAAATATTTGTTATGTTTATAAATGATTTGTTAATAACAGTATTCAATAATTCCATAGTAATTTTCAGAAAAGTCATAATATTTTGGTTATCGAGTAATTTTCAAAAAAATACTAATATTTTGAGCAAACTAACAAAAATGACAAAATACCGGCTAAATCTACGAAACCGACCAAAAGGGTTTTTTCGAAATTTTAACCGGTATTCTGTGTTTTTTCTATAAACAAAATTTAATTTGAGATTTTTTCATAAATTGGATTAAAATTTTAGGACTTTTATGGAGATTTCCCTATGCATGATGTATTGTTCGACAGTGCAGGCTGCATAATTCTATCTCTAATATCTCCCTAAACCCTAAACCCTTTTAATTCAATTTGAATCAATGTAATGATACATACAATGATTATAAAGGATGGTTTGTTAATGAGGATGAAGACATCTCAATGGCAGGAAGTTATTGATTTGAATCTCACCGGTGTATTCCTATATACACATGTATGATTCTTGATTAATAATTATTCTCAAATATTTTCTTTACTAAATCTTTATATTTTTGTTTTAAGATTATGATGAAGAAGAAAAAGTTAATTTTAATGTTTTTGTTTTTGTAACTAACAATGTTGGAGGGTTTTTTTTTTTTTTACAAACAATGTTAAGTTTTTTTACCTTAAAAATATTGTATGTATAATGTTGGAGTTTTTGCATCTTAAAATATATTATATGCTTAATTTATGATAGCTAAAATTTGTTAGTCAAAGGTTTGTATAAGAAAACAGATATTTAAAATAAAAAAACATAAATAAAAAAGATTAAAAAATTTGTTATTTAAAAAAACAATAAAAAAAGGTAAAAAACTGAAATAAGAATTGTTATTTAAAAAAAATAAAAAAAACAGTATAAATGTGAAATAAAAGAAAATGAAAGAAAATTCGAATATTTAAAATAAAAAAAACATTAACAAAAATTGAAAAAGTAAAGAAAATGGCAAAATACTAATATGGTAAATATTTTTGAAATAGCATTAAAATAGGAAATAACTTTTTCAATATTTTTGAAAGTAGATTAAAATAGGAAATGACAAAAACTCATTTGTTGTGTTCTTTGTGCATTTTAGGTCCATTTACAAGGAAATACATCAAATTGATCATCTCATTGATTATTTATTTTATACTATGTATGAGACCAATATATTATATGTGTTAATTTAAAAAAATAAAAAATAAAAAATAAAAAAATAAACTACATATAAAAGTCAAAATATTTGAGAACTTTGATTTTATAAGAAAATAAGAAAAATAATAAATTATTATAACAGAAAGGTTTTTTATCTTTTAAATTTAAATAAATAAAATAAACCAATGAGCTTTAATTTTGAGAATTTTGAAATTAAAAGGTAAGTTCATTAATGAAATTGATATACATTTATTTCAATTATTACATTAAAATATTAAGTGGAATTTTAAAAAAAATAGAAAAACTTATAAAATGACACCCGGAAAAAAAAATGAAAAATAACCATAAAATGGCATTTGGCAAATGGAATGAGAGTGTGATAAGTGACAACAAAACCCTCATTTATTAGAGAGGATTTTTCACACAAATTTTCTAATGTTATCTTATATATGGAACATTTATGCAAATTTGTTATTAGCCACTCACTATTTCTCTAGTTTTGTAAAATTTAATGGTAATTTTTGTAAATTTTGCTTTAGGGACGGATCATTTCTGTAATTTTATGAAACACAAGGAGCATTTCTATAAATTTGTGAAAAACAATGATAATTGATGTAGATTTCCTAATAGGCATAAACCACATCTATAATCCCCTTTTATAATAAAAGACTCTTTTGTTGTCTACGTGTCATTCTCTATGCTCTTTCAGTTTAAGTCCAATTACTAAACTACCCTTTTATAGCTTAAAATTGGTCATCTGGAGGGTGTTTGAGATTACTTTTTACATTCAAAAGTCCTTCTTGTAAAAGAACCTTTTGCAAAATGAGTTTTTAAAAATGTGTTTGGATTAGCTTTTGAGG